ATGCTTATCTTATAACTGTAAGTTTGTACCTTTGGACCACCTCCCTTCAATTACCCCTCCTTCACCCCTCCGACTGGTACCCACGAATCTGATCTCTATTTCTAGGAGTTTGTTTTTTTCTTTTTCTTTTAGATTTCACATATAAGTGGGATTATACAGTATTTGTCTTTCTCTGTCTTATTTCACTTACTATAATGGCCTCAAGGTTCATCCATGTTGTCACAAACAGCAGGATTTCATTCTTTTTATGGTTCAACAATATTCCTCTGTGTATGTGTGTGTGTGTGTGTGTCCACATCTTTATTCATTCATCGATGGACTCTTAGGTTGTTTCCATGTCTTGACTATCGTAAATAGTACTGCTATGAACATGGGAGGGCAGATATCTCTTCAACATAGTGTTTTTGCTCCCTTCAGATATATTCCCAGAAGTGCAATTGTTGGATCATATGGTAGTTCTATTTTTAATTCTTTGAGGAACCTCCATACTGTTGTCCACAGTGGCTGCACCAGTTGCATTCCCACCAGCAGTGCACAAGGGTTCCTTTTTCTCCACATCCTCACCAACACTTGTTATTTCTGGTCAATTTGATTTTAGCCATTCTGACAGGTGTGAGGTGGTATCTCATTGTGGGTTTCATTTGCATTTCCCTGAGGATGAGTGATGCTGTGCATCTTTCATTGTTTCTGTTGGTTTCTTCATTTCTTTGAAGAAATGTCTGTTCATGTCTTTAGCCCATTTTTTAGTTGGATTGTTTGGGTTTTTTGGCATTGAGTTGCATAAATTCTTTATATATTTTGGATATATAACCCTTATCGGTATGTTATTTGCAAATATCTTTTCCCATTCTGTAGGTTGCCTTTTAGTTTTGTTGTTTCATTTGCTGTGCAAAAACTTTTCATTTTGATGTATTCCCAATAATTTATTTGTGCTTTTATTTCCTTTTAGGAGACATTCCTAGAAAAATGTTGCAGTGCCTGATGTCAGAGAAATTATTGCTTATGCTCTCTTCTAGGACTATTATGGTTTCACGCCTCACCTTTAGGTCCTTAATCCATTTTGAGTTTACTGTTCAGCCTTAAAAAGGAAATCCTTTGATGAGCACTAAGTAGTATATAGAACTGAATCACTATATTAAACCTAAAACTAATGTAATACTGTATATGAACTATTAAAAAAAAAAAAAAAGAAGGAAACCCTGCCATTTGCAGTAACATGGGTGAACCTGGATGACATTATGCCAGGTGAAATAAGCCAGACACAGAATGACAAACACTGCGTGATCTCACTTATATGTGGAATCTAAAAAAGTTGAACTTATTGTAACAGAAAGTAGAATGGTGGTTACCAGGGACCAGGTGTGGGGGAAGTGGGAGATGTTGGTTAAAGGTACTAATCTGCAGTTACAGGATGAGTAAATTCTGCATCCCTAATGTACAGCATGATAGCTACAGATGGCTATGATGTATACTTGAAATTTGCTGAGTGTGTAGATATCAAGTGTTCTCACCACACATAGGCACAAAATGGGAACAATTTGGGGTGATATGTAAATATGCTTGATTTGGGTAATCATTTCACAATATATACATATATCAAAACATCATGGTGTACAACCTTAAAAACATAGGATTTTTATTTGTCAATCACATCTCAAAAATAAAATAATACCTACAAAACAATAAGTTTTATATTTTAGTAAAAAGACTAATGTTTAGTGTAAAAGACTATTTTTGTAAGAATATCACTCACCGGTCCAGAAAAAAAAACTAAAAGCTTTGTTCCTCTAAAAGTGGAATATTACCCTTAGGTCCTTTTAGGAGGTATGTGTTTATTCCCATTCAATTAAAGCTTCTTTCTAAAATGATCTTTCTTCAGGCCCTAATATACTTTACTCTTTATGGTCTCTACACAGAGAAATCATAAATGCTTTTCTCCTCAGAACTTCATGGAGGGGAAATCCATTTCTGGTAGCTTACGCTGTGATGAGCCAAATACAGTTTACTTTTAGCTCCATAGTTGTATGGGGGCTGTATGGGGATCCCAGGTAGGAAGTAAGACGTACAAAGCCCTAATCCTGCAATTCAATCCCAACGAGGACTGCACCTGGCTACCAGAAAGATCAGAACACAAAAGCATCAGAATCACCTTTCCTGCTTCAAGTAGAGGGTTTGGGCTTCTAAAGAGGATGGCTGAAGTCTCTGGCCATCCTGGCAAATCTCTGTGGAAAGATGTCAGGTGCTCTTAGAAGTTGTGGTAGTAAATCCCAAACCCCTGGTGAGGGAATGGCTGACAAGTGCCTGCCCAAAGACTGTGCTCCCAGCTTTGGCTCACAGGGAGGTGGAGAACTTGTCTCAGGTCACGTTGTAAATGGAATGACCAGCATTAATACCCAGCTAGTCTAGTTCTGGATTCCAGGCCCTAAAACACTAAACTTGTAGTCCCAGATTTTGCTATGCGTTCTAATCAGCAGGGGAGCTTCCCAAAACCCAGATTCCCAGGCTGAACACCATAGAATTAGATCAGAATCCCTGGGGGTGGGAACCAGGCCATCGGGTGTTTTTTCTTTAACTTTTCATTTTGAAATCAATATCCACTCACCAGTGTTTTCCCTGAGTGCCCAGGTCATGGCAGCGTGAGGCCAAGCTGAGCACAGGGCCCTGCACCAGGAGCCTCCCTCAGGGCTCCAGGAGAACTTCCTGTCAAACCTCTCAACAGCCCTCTGGGGTAGATGCAATCTAATCCCCACTCAGTGGGTAAGAAATCCCAGGGAAATCACTCAATGTGCCCAAAGTCACAGACTAATACAGGTGGAAGAGGACTAGAATCTAAGCCACCTGGCTCCAGGGCCCAAAGTCTTACCCAATCCCCGTGGTTCTGAAGCTGGAGAGTCTCAGAGCACCTGGAGGGAGGGTTTTGTGAAAGCACAATTGCTGGGCCCTGGGCCCAGATTCCAATCCAGGTGGGGGCCCTATGCCCTGGAAGGTGGAACGTACTTCTCTTTGGCCCCCACAGAAACAAAGGAGAAGGGGGACTTCCATATTTCCTAGACTGCTAGGGCTAAGAATCCTATATATTATTCTTGGTTTGTCGAGAAAGACAGGACAGCAGCGTGGCAGAGTGAGGGAAGGGAGATGAGCAGTTCACATTTCTTAGATGCTCCCCCACCCCACCAGACAAAGGCTGTGACATCCCCATTTACAGAAGAGAGAGTGAGCAAAGGAAATAGTAGATCACTTTGCCAAAGTTACACGGCAGGTAACGAACTAAGGTGCAAGGAGAACTGGGGTTTGTCCACCCTCGTGTTTTCCCTCTAGGGCATCTTGGCCCTCTGTCGGGATTCTGAGGGCGTGTGGAGAGACCCTGTCAGAATGGGCAGAAAACAGTCATCCTGGTCTGCCCTGTCCAACGGCAGGGCCTGGGACTGTCCTTACGAATGAGGACGTGGGGAGGGGAGGGAAGGAAGGGGCATCTGGGAAGATGCTAAATCTGCTTTACCCTGAGAGAGGGGGCCAGGGAAGAAGAGTTGCTTCCACTTTCAACAGCCTTGGATTTCAAACCTCAAGGGGAATGAATTCTAAATAAGATCTCACCTGACAATTTCCACGTGAGTATGAGGAACAGGAGAGATGGAAATGGAAGGAAAGGGGCTTGGATTCCAGGCCCACTCCCCCTCCCCGACTTTATAGAATCCTTGGCAAAGCAGTTCAGTCCCCTGAGCCCTGCTTCTTCTGGAAAGGGAAGAGATCCTGGATGCTGCATGGTTGATGAGGGTGGTAGTGATGGCAGCTATTAATGTTTGAGGGGTTTTGATGAGAACAGATGTTTTACTACTTTGTAAATTGTGAGGCTAATGTGAGCCCTGGAGCACTCCTCCTGGTGAGACACATTTCTCCTGAATGACAAAGGAAATACGATGCTATTGTAATATGTGCTGTGAATGTCCCCTGAGTTAGAAAAGACTAGAAAAGGTGAAATGCAAATCCTCCCAGTGACTGTGGTCACAGCCTGGTCCCTGGAGGGCAGTCCTGCTGTGCTATGGCAACACGAACAGAGGATCTAAACGAGCACTTATTTTAAAGAATAAATTCACCAAAACATAAAATGAGTGTGGAATGCCCCACTTTCATAAAAATAAAACATTTTAAGCAAAGATTCATTGAAAATAAAGCATTACTTAAGACAAATAGTTTCCAAAGTGGTTAAATTTATTTTTAAGTGCAAATAGATCACTCTTCAACACATATACAACAGCTCTAATTCCCGAAAATGACATCTGCTGGAGAGAGGCACAATCTTCTTGATTCACACGCCTCAATCGTTCCATGCACAACCACGGCACGTCATACTTTCAACATACCAGAGGAGGGATCTGGGAAGCACCTGCATAAGCTCAGAAAAGGGAGAGTTCCTTATACTTTCTGTTTATTGAGCTAAAACAGGATGAATTCTCCCATTTTACATCAAACACTGAAACTAAAGTATTCATCCCAACAAGGAATAAGCCAGTTCTGATTTTTACTTTCCAACTTCCCACTACAGTGTATTGAAACACAAAATAGCAGCCCCAGGAGTGGCCCCAGCATCTCTGTATATCGTCAAACATTGCCATCTTACTCATTATCTGAATTAAACACGACAAAATGTAAATTAGTGATCTGAGTGTAAGTATCCAATTTTCCATGAAAAATCAATTAGAAAAAGAAAAATTATCAAATACTCTAAGCATTATTTTTCATACTCCTAAGACTATAAAATAAACCCCTTTATAAATAAAAAGTGTACTTCTATCAAACATGTTATACAACACAGACTCACGAATTGCCTTAAAAATCCTTAACATTTTAAACACTAAACACAGAAATACACATAAATTTCTGTAAGAGTAAACAATGTTGCAAACAAAAATAATTGATGACCCTATCATGTTAATCTTAGTGCACAGTCCTGGATTGACAGTAACAAGTACAGTTAAAATGAACACTGAGGTCACGTGATGTAAGTAAGCTGATGCTCCTCAAATGACATTAAATACTTGCTTTGCACTCTGGGGGTTTAGGCTTTGCAATAAATATGTAATAAATATCTGCAGTACATCCTACATGTTGAGCACTTATCGTTCTCCATTTGAAAGTCTTTCTCCAGAGTCACACTGTCTAAGGGCCGTCCCAGGGGGTGGGGAGTAGGGATTCTGCAGCAGGTCCATCAACAGAGCCATCTTGGTATCCATGTGTTCCTGGAGTCGATATATTCGCCGATCGATGTAGTCCACAAGTTTCTTTTCCAGCAGTTCCATATTTTTAGTAAGAATCTTTTCCAAGTAGGTGCACACAGGTTGCTCTTCCATTCTAAAAACAAATGTTAAAAAACCAGTAAAACAATTATCCCCGGTATCGTAACAGAAACCACCGAACTGTACTGAAACAAGCAGCCAACGTACACTGCGGAAATCTGTCTTCGCAACGGTGCCGTCTGGGTACAAGGTATTTCCGGGTGCCAAAATACACCTACCAACAGCCAACCACAACCCCAAATGCCCAAAGCATTCTGTATCTGATTCTTTCAACATTTCAACATACAAGTGAAATGAGGATAGAACAACAAAGACAGAACGTCTACCCTCACAGAACAAGTCTCTTACAAAGGGTCTTTTGATTTTGAGCCCCAAGTCAAAACTGATCTGGCCCATTTTTTTTTAAGGTCTCCACGTATGTCTTCCAAGAACTTCCCCAAACAACCCTACAATTTCAAGTTTTGTCCTTGTCACCCACACCACCTCACTAAATAATGGAAGGTTCTTTTCTAACCTAATATGAAAACACTTAAAAATGAATGTAACTGGAATGGGCAGATAGGAATAAAAATAGTAAAAAGGGGCGGCTGGGTAGCTCGAGTCAGTTAAGTGTCTGACTTCAGCTGGGGTCATGAGCCCAAGGTCCCTGCTCAGGGAGGAGTCTGCTTCCCCCTCTGCCCCTCCCCCCGCCCATGCTCGCTCTCTCTCAAATAAATAAAATCTTTTTAAAAAATAAATAAATAAAAAGCGCTCGTTTCTCAAGCTCACAACCAATGAACACCAGGACCGTGACTTTCAGGGCGTGGTCCACAAACCCCCGGGGTCGCCATGACTTCCTCAGCTTCCGTAAGTGCCAAGTGTTCTTACACTACTACTAAGACGAGGTCCGAACTCTTCATCCTCGGATCCTCACCAACATACAGTGACATTTCCCAGAGGCTACACGAGGTGTAATGTCACTGCTCAGGTGATCAAAAGAAGTTGTGCTTGAGTATTTCTCTCTTTCTTAGACTTTCTGAAGGTAGTCAATTGAGGGTATAAATATTTTCTTCAGAGATCAACCCCGTTTATTCATTTATTCTCAGTACTTCTGCGGTCTTACTAGCTACTGATGCTATATGCTGGAGGGCCACAGAGATGAGAATGCAACCAGAAGCTAGTATCGATTCTATACTTTTCACATAATACCATTCTAAGTTTGCTTAGAAAACATATTTCTCATAAAAATTGTTATGTTACTGTATAATGGGTTTGTTATCTTTTCTTTAAAGACTTTATTTATTTTCTTGACAGAGACAGAGCACAAGCAGGGGGAGCAGCACAGGGAGAGGGAGAAGCTGGCTCCTTGCTGGACTCGATCCCAGGACCCTGGGATCACGACCCGAGCCGAAGGCAGCCGCTTAACCGACTGAGCCACCCAGGCACCCAAAGGGTTTGTTATTTTTAAACAAATGAATCCTGTGCTCGCTTCGGCAGCACATATATTAAACAAATGAATGCTTTCATATACTCTACATAAATAAAGGGCCTTTAGAGTCCTCAATCATTTTTCAGAATATAAAGACCAAAACGTTTGAGAACCCTCTAGAATATATGAGGGGTTTTTAAAACGGTTATTTTTTTTTTCCAAATAACTCCAGATTCACAGGAAGTTGTAAAGATACTAGAGTTCCACAGTACCCTTTACCCAGTGGTCACATCTCACCTAACTCTGGCAGAGTACAAAAGCAGAAAACTGATGTTGGCACGCTGTGCGTGGATGCTGTTCTATCACACGTACACACATTCACGTGAACATCACAACTGAGCTGCACAACTCTTCCCTCATGACGAAGATCTCCCTCCTGCCACCCCCTACACTCACACCCACTCCCCTAACGCCCTCCACCCCTAACACCTGGCAAGCACCAATATGGTCTCCATCTCTACAACTTTGAGGATGTTATGCAAATACAATCACACAGAATGTGACCTCCCGAGATTCTCTTTTGTTCCTCAGCACAATGTCCTCAGGAGCCATCCAGGTTACTGTGGGTGTCAGTGGTCCGTTCCTTTTACTGACCACCACCCTGTGATGTGGATATACCACAGTTTGTTTAAGTGTTCATCTACTTTAAGACATTTTGGTTGCGTCCAGTTTTCGGCTGTCACATAGAAATAAAGCTTTCTTTGCATGAAGAACTGGGCATAGTTTCCTGTGTGGACCTAAGTTTTCATTTCTCCAGGGTAAGTGCTCAGGGGTAGGACTGCTGGGTCACACGGTAAATGTTTACTTCTCAAGAAACTGCCAAAGAGGTTTTTAGAGTGGCCACAGCATTCTACACTCCCACCGCCAATGTAGAAAAGATCCAGTTTCTCCACATCCTCGTCAGCATTGGGTATTGTCACCATTTTTTGTTTTTATTTTAATCTTCAAGTAACTGTGCAGTAGTATCTTGTGGTTTTGATATTCATTTCCCTGATAGCCATGAGGTCAACAATGATCATCTTTGCACTTGCTTATTTGATATGTGTACCCTTTCTAGTAACATGCCTCCATGTCTGTTGCCCATCTTCTGATTGAAATTTTTCCCAACGTGAATTTTGGGAGCTACAGAAATGCAGGCCATTTGTTAAATTTGTGACTTGCAAATAGTTTCTCTCACTTTGTATCTGTATCTTAATCCTCTTAACGGGGTCTTTCACAAGGTAGAAGTTTTACATTTTGATGGGATCCAATAGATCAATGTTTCCATTACCGCGATTCTGGCATCATCTAAGGGTCTTTTCCTACTCTCAGGTCCCCAAATGTTCTCCTACGTATTACTGGAAAAGTTTGATAGCTTTATGCTTGTTTGTTTTTAAAGATTTTAAGTAATCTCTACACCCAAGGTGAGTATCAAACTCACAACCACAAGATCAAGAATTGCACGCTCTGCAAAAAATAAATTAAAAAAATAAAATTAAAAATTAAAAAAAAAAAAAAAAACTTGCGCACTGTGCCGACTGAGCCAGCCAGAAGCCCCTCTAGCTTTACGTTTTACGTTTAAGTCCATGATCCATGTTGAGTTATAGCTCCTAAAATTACTGGAAACAGCTACAGGAAGCAGTTAGTGAAACAAATCTGTTTTCCTCCAACTGATTCTTCTATCTACGAAACCTAAACCACATTTGTCTGAAATACTTACGTGACACCAACCACGCCTTCCCCAGCCTTCGTGATGCCTTCCTGCCACTTGGTGTTACGTCCCACACGGAGATGGTTAACCTGACTACATAAATTCTGGAGAAACGGCAGCAACTCAGAGTTAGGTACATTTGAGTCGTCACTCGCTTTTTTCGGCAGGAAAGAAGAAACTGCGTTTCTGAGGTCACTCTCAAGAAGAGAACGGTTTTGTGGCACAAGGTTATACTCTTTGAGGTTTGTAGTGTTTCCTCCACCCGGTGGCTGTGGACTTTTATCAATGTAAGCGTTTAAGTCTTCAGTCAGGGTTCCAGATGTCAATCCGGTTCTAAAAGGGAAAGGCGTGGAGGGTGACTTGTCTGAGGCTCCTGAAGCAACTGACGACTGCAGGTCGATCATACGTTTGTAGCCAGTATTTCCCAAAACCGACTGAAGCTGCTCTCCGATGGGAACACAATTCTAAGCAAGGTAAATAAATACATGTTACTATTGGTAGTAGCGACAGCTAACTTTTGGGGTAATTACTGTAAGTCAAGCAACGTGCATTCGTTCACGTGATCCTCTAAACATCCATATGATGTAGGCTACAGTCTTAAGTTGAGGAGACCACAGCGAAGGTGAAACCAAGGCTAAAGGTAACCTGGCTAAGGTAACACAACTAGTGTAACACACCTAGTAAGTGGCAGAACTGGGACATGAACCCAGACCACCTAACTCCAGAGTCAAGGCTTTTAATGGTTTCACTGTAGTTTTTGCTAAAGGAAATATTAAATGCTTAGTAAAATTGCATTAGCATTAATGCCTCCACTACGAAGGCCTCCTTAATTTACGGTAATAAAACACAGTACTCTCAACTGAGGCACAATAATTAATAATATTCTTAGATTTAAATATCACCCATCGAGTTTCCCATATAATAAGCTAACCTAAGGAAATCTTTTATAACTAGCTTATCATGGAAGATACACCAGATAGCTTATACACTAGAAGGTTGATGTTTCGGGGCACCCGGGTGGCTCAGTCATTCAGCGTCTGCCTTCGGCTCAGGTCATGACGCCGGGGTCCTGGGATCGAGCCCCGCATCGGGCTCCCTGCTCGGCGGGAAGCCCGCTTCTCCCTCTCCCACCCCCCCCGCCCCGCTTCTGTTCCCCTCTCTCGCTGTGTCTCTCTGTGTCAAATAAATAAATAAAATCTTTGAAAGAAGTCCGATGTTTCATCAGTACAGTTGCGACATCTGCAATGACTAAAATGAGCCAACTTTTGGCTATGTCTGCCTTAATGATTTGTAGGATAACAGATTACGTTTTACGGCCTCAGCTGAACTGGCCATGCTATATTATTTCATGACAGGGTTCTGGCTCACTTCTGAGATGAGGTTACAGGCTCTCCCATACAGGGGCATGTTCTTCCTATGCTCCTTGCTATGCTCTTCAGTTTTTCTACAAGAGCAAAGCAAAACTACCTCTAGCCTACTAAACTGTTAAGTTATAGGGCTGTACCCTAAATTGGAAACACAAAACTCTATTCTTATTTGGGAGATATCAACACATCCGTACTCTTGCTCAACACCTACTGAAAGAGACTGAGACAAATACTATACAGGTTAGCTAAAGAAACTCGGTATATACATTGTCTAGACACTCTAAAAAATGATCCCTGGACTGAACCAAACCAAAACGCATTTGGTCAACAAGTATTTACCAGAAATCTACTCTGTGCTTCTGGCACAGAAAATAAGTGGCTGAACAAAACAAATGAAAATCACTGATATGTGGAACCAATACGGGAGCAGGGAACAATGGAAAGAAGCAGGGAAGGAAGGAAGGAAGGAAAGTAGGCAGGCAGGCAATATATCATGTGGATGGAGATGGTGATAAATGCTTTAGGGAAAAATAAAGGAGGCAAGGGGAATAATGAGAGCCAGGGAAGTCGGTGGTGTGGGGGCGGGGGGCGGGCAGCAGGAGGGTCCCCATGAGACTTCTTTTACTGATCTGCACTTTGGAGGAATACTCTCTATAAAGAAATGTTATCTTCTACCGAATGCAAGGTTTGGATAAACCTTAAATTATTCCTAGAAGATGGACTGTATATAATTATATAAATTACATGTATTGTACATTATATATACAATACATACAATTATATACAAAATTTTAAAATTCAACAACTCTCCTTTGATAGAAAGGAGCCCTACTCAATCATGATGACAAAGCTAAATTATTTTTGGTAGTGTAAACAGTCCAAAAACCTTCATGACACAAAAATGAAAATTCTTTTAATTGAATTTTATTTATAGAGAGAGAGAGAGAGCATGATTGAGGGGGTTGGGGAGAGGCAGAGACAGAGACAGAGAGAGAGAGAGAGAGAGAGAGAGAGAATCCCAAGCAGGCTCCATGCCCAGTATGGAACCCGACTCGGGGCCTGATCTCGTGACCCTGAGATCGTGACCTGAGCCAAAATCAAGAGTCGGACGCCTAACAGACTAAGCCACTGAAGCACCCCAGGAAATCGAAAATTTGGTATAAACAGCAGTGAAATCAATGTCAAAATTGTGTATGGCAACTAATTTGGCAGAAATTTTAATTAAGAAAATGTAAACGCAAATAAGGTATTTGGTATGTGAGGTTTTTCTTTTCTGATATACCAAATCTGGATTAGAAGAAATCCACTGATTATAAAAATCAGTCATATTTTTCTCAGATGAGAGCTTTTAAGGTAATTTCCTTTTCCTCTTCGTATTAAATATCACGGAATTCACAGGTAAGTCTATATGGCAGTGCAGTGAATAAGCCAACTTTAGGGGCTGGTGGCTATTCTTCTGTTTCCTTTTGTTTCATTTAATTCAATTCTTTTAATTTTCTTGTGCTGTCTGACACATGTTGCCATGCAAGGTCCACCAAACCCTTTTCAAAGCAGGCAGGGGAATATGTATGAAATAATTTATACATATTTATTGCTTAGGATCCATGTCATATGTTGTATGGGAAACACTGACAGAGTAGCTGAAAAGAACATAAAAGCATTCATGCGAAATTATGTCCACATACCTATGCGTGAATATGTAAAGATTCAGATGTATGTATGTGTATCTGTGTATACACATCATTTTATATGTGCGCATATTTACCCCCAGACTCGTGAAAACTTAAGGGTCTATTTCTGAACATCTCGTCAGATATCTGAAAGGACTAACTTTTATTACAAAAAATGTAAACAAGTATCACCTTGAAAAAGCAAGAAAAAAAGACATTTGTATTTCAAAGGTGAAAAAAGCAAACTGTAAATCCTGCATAAGTGAGTATGTTTTCTTCGAGAAAAATGGGGTGCATCCTTTCATTCAGGCAACATTACATGAAAACTATAGGCTAGGCACTTTGATATAGAATTCCTATTCAATTTTGCTAAGTTGTGAAGCAAAAACAAATCAAAGCCAGCAAATGTTAACTTCAAATATAATGAAATAAGAAAAAACTTTAACAAAACTTTCAAGAACACAAGCAAAGCAACCCCAAAGCACAGGTGAAGCCGGGAAAGGTAGAGGGCTTCTAACGAAGCTTCCCAGGTCACTTCTTTCCCCTTCAGGACAGGCCCTGCCCAAATTAACGTAGGAAGGTTCTAAACAGTGCATGCGGTTACACAGCTTCCGCCGAAGGAACATTTTGGTCATGAAACATCCCTACTATATTTATTTAAGATTTTATTTTTAAGTAATCTCTACACCTAACGTGGGGCTCGAACTTATAAGCCCGAGACCGAGAGTCACACACTCCACCATCTCAGCCAGCCAGGTGCCCCAAAACATCCCTACTTTAGACTTAACAAACAGTTACATAGCTTACATGACATTTTCCAGGGAGACAGTCCGTAGATTCCTGCTTGTTAGTAACACGCAATCCTAGAAAACCAGGTATGCCCCGTAAGAATCATCCCATAAAGAGAGCCTCCCCACTTGGAAGAGGTCTTTTATTAGCATGTTTAAAAGAACATTTAACTGAATCACCTTCCTTCTTCCACAGGGTTCCCCAAATGGCCCCGTATACAATGAGTTAGTGGGGGGAGGGGGGCACGTCACAACACGTACACTGGATGGAAGGACTTGCAGGTATTTCTACAGACGCAGGAAACTCTAGGATACACACCAAGCTGGGGAAGAGAATGAAAGCTGGGAGAGCACTTTTATGATTTATTTAAGGCACTTCTGAATGGACTGAAATTAATAGCAGGGAAAACAGGTTATTTTTGGAATTCAACCAACAAACTTAAAACCATGACACACACACAAAAAAATCTATCCATGTTAACTCTTTTTCCAAAGTTAGGTTTTTAGAACATAAAGATCAGTCCACGAGCTGATTGTACATCATTAACCCTCTCTGATGTTTCCAAAGTCTTGCACACAAAAAATAATTTCATCTTGTTTTACATTTTCTATCTCCATGGGATCCTTCTCCTCGATCACTTGTTCTTAGGGTTCTTAACTATGCGTTAAGAATCATCTGGGGATGCCTGTTTGATACAATGCCTGGATCCCACCTTCTGGGTTTCAGGTCATTGCTGACAGCCAGGAATCGGCACCTTATAAACATTCCAGGGGATTCCGATACAGGGAAGCTCCTTATCTCTATCATTCTTGAAACAAACCCATTTAACCCGCGTACCTCCACATTCCAACTACCCCCATTTACTGCCCAATCCCTCAAGATCTGGTTTCCATATCACGATCATTCAATCTGAACCCTGAAGATCTCCAAGAAGCACTTAGTTGATAACCCAAAAGGCACATATATCATATTCTTATTTGGAGCCACAAACAGGACAGACCAGCTCCCCGTTTGCATGAAGCTGATATTCTAATGAGATAAACAGACCAACATATAAACAACAACAAAATAGTCAAGAAGGCTCTGATGAAAATATGATGCAGATTTGGAGGGAAAGGCTATTTTAAACCGGTGGTTGGGGAAGGTCTCACTAAGGATGTAACATTTAAGTTGAAATCTTAATAAAAAGGAAAAGCCAGCCCTGCCCCAGTCTGGGGAAGAGGCTTCTGGAGAAAGAGAAAAATTAAGAGTGCAAAGGTCCTGAACACACTTGAATATCTGAGGACTACACACATCAGCACATCTGGAAGCCAGGTGTCCCGGGAGATTTGGCAGGAGATGGGGTTAAGGAATCAACGAAGGCCCAGATCTTAGACGCCAGGGTAAGGAAGCTGGGTTCATTCTGAGTGTGCTGAGAAGAAGTCAGAGGGCTTCACACAGGGAAGGATGAGTCTGATTTACCCTTTGAGATTATTCTGGTCATCCTGTGGAGAAGGGACTGCAGTCGAGCAGGAGGACCAGTCAGGGGCTTCCTGAGGATCGAGGTGCGGTGACGGTACGAGAGAAAGAAAAGTATGGAACTGGTACTTTTTTGAAACCCTTCTTTCCAGGGTTCCCGTGATAACCATCAACTCTCCCCTTTTCCCGGTCTTGCCCATTGAGTGACACCTGTACTAAATTACTATTGGTAAAGCTCACAAAAGGTACACACGTTGTTTATTTAGACTATTTCTTTTAAACTTTCCCATGACTCCTTTATCCTAGCAGTATTACCGTTTAGATTTAGAACGTGACAAAATTTACGTCAAAAAACAGGAAGCAGGGGCGCCTGGGTGGCCCAGTCGTTAAGCGTCTGCCTTCAGCTCAGATCATGCTCCCAGGGTTCTGGGATCGAGCCCCGCATCCAGCTACCTGCTTAGCGGGGAGCCTGCCTCTCCCTCTCCCCCTCCCCCTGCTTGTGTTCCCTCTCTCGCTGACTCTCTCTCTGTCAAAAAGATAAATAAAATCTTAAAAAAAAAAAAAAAAGACAAAGCAATGCCAAATTACGCAACTACTTATGTCAGCACCACAACCTGAAGTCAGGTCTCCTGACATCAGCTCTTCCCTCGTGCTACTCGGTCACACCGCTGGTCTTCCGCTCTTCTCGTCCCTCCTCCCTATTATCCTTACCAAACCTAGCTACCCCCATGGACCTTTCTTCCTTGCTCCGGCTCTCCCTTCAGCACTTTCCCTGTCCTCTACTGGGTCCATCTCTCAAACCTCCCTTCCGCTCCTCCACCTCCACCCGTACACCCTCCGGTGCTTCCCAGAGCTCGCAGCATCATCCGAGGCACTGTTTGATTCACATCTACAACTTAATATTCCCAAAATCAAGCTCCCTTTTTCCCAAGTGGTCTCCTACCTTGGGTTCCATTTATACCGTAGGTATCACCATCTTCCAAACCTCAACGTCCCCTTTAATTCTATTTTTCTCGGGCAATGGCAACATCAAGTTATCTAGAGCTGATGGCACCAGCATGGCAACGTCTCACAATCCAGCATCAGGTCATACGTCCAATTTTAGACCCTCCTGGACTCTCATCTGGATGAGGAAAGGAACATGGAACTGCTCCCCCTGGAGTCTCACAACCTACTGATTCACTGTTCCTTCTCACTCCTCTCACGCAGAGCGCTGGGTTAGAGTTTCTCAAAACGTGGGCAAAACCAGGCATGTACTTTTAAAAGTAACGTTCAAAACCCTCTACGATCCAACCCCAAGCTGAACTCCCCCAACCACTTCTTCACCCCAGAGAAGTGAACTTCTATTCATTCCCTAGCTATGGCCTGTCCCTTCTAGCACTGAAGAGTTAATCCATGCTATTTTCTCTGTCTCGAATTGCATCCCTCCAAATTTACTCGCCCGGTCCCATCCTTCTTCCTTAAAGACCTAGATAAAATGAGACTATATAAAGATCCTCAAAGACAGGCTACAAACTAACTGACCTTGGAACTTCCTAACGTGCTCAAAACATTGCCTTATTCACTGAGAAGGTGCTTAATAAATATTTGCTGAACGAATGAGTAAATTCATAGAAAATTGTAAAGATCTGTAGTAAGATATTTTGTAGAAGAGAACGTCTACAAAATGTTACTTTACAAAGCAAATAAAGGTAACGGTCAGATCAACAGTAAAAGTTCAAAGAAAAAACTTAAGTTAATACGTGTCCTTATAAAAAGCCGTCATTCTGAAATTTTTAATGGTACCTGGACAGACTCCATGTCTACGTACCTGCTGCTGAAATTTAACCATATTCATCAGTTGCTGAGCGCCAGGTGACAACTTTGACCCCATGGCCTCCATGAGAGTTTGGACCCTCTGCAGGTCTATCCTTGATCCTAGAGCAGGAGAGCTGGTTGAAGAATTTGTTGAAACCCGCCTCAATTGTACCACAATTTTACTGATGAACACACACTGCTTTTCACCAAAGGAGAGCAACTATTATAAAACAAAGAAGTTCCGGAAAACAATAATATTAAACAGTAGTCACTATTTAAGGTCACTTTTCTCTAGAAGCTAGCAATAATATACTTAGGAAAATAAACTTTAAATACACGTTCATTTTTAAGCTTTCCTGAAAACTGTAACGATCCGCACTTGTAATTTACCACAAGGCTCGTAAGAACGATTTACAAAAAGAATAACATGTCAAACTGAATACATACACAGAATATACAAAGGGGCTACGATAAGATTTCATTCACTTAAACTAATGAATAAAAATAAACTATAACCATCTGAGAACTTAACACAGCACAGCTGTAATAGTATTTAATATAAAAGAAGGCTTCACAAAAATCTTTACTGAAATACGAAAACTAAGTCAGTCCTTTAAAACTGAGAATTTTAAGAGAAAGTTAGATATGGTCTAACATAACCTACTGGTTCACACACAAAAAGATGAGGTCAGGGGTGATTTTCCGACTTGTCAGAGGATCACCAAATTGGTAAAAGTCAAGCTTGGAACCTAGCCCCCTGGCTTCTATAGCAGCGTCCTGCCCACTGCTTTAGGCTGCCTTATTTCTGAACACAAAGACATTTCTTGTGTGATATGGACAACAAAGTAGCAAAGTAGGAAGGGACCACGATTTAGAATCAGACAGAGTCAGTGATGACTCCACTTAGAGCCTGTGTGACCCCAGGAAAAAGGCAAAAACCTGAGTCAGGAATAAAATGAGGGAGGCTAAAAACAATGATTTTACACGGTTGTTAGGAGGATTAGGTGTTCAAATTCCCAGTTCCTACCACTGGGAGTAAGTGCTCAAAAAGATGGGTCCGTGACTTTCAACTTTCATATACCACTGCCCCAGAACAACCTTTAGTAGGCCTAGGATTTCTCTAATGAGATTACTCTTAGCAGTCCCATAGAACTTCCACAGAATAGGTAACAAAAAACACTTACCTGCAGAGACACATACAAAACCATATGTAACGTGACAACACAGGTCAAGAACCCATAATCCAAGAACTCTGAGCGTGGCACCAAAGAGGTGACTGTCCTCAACAATTAAGGAACCTCCGCATTAAATTTACACACCTACCTTCTAACCTCCCTGCTACCCACCCTCTGCTTTTTCATCCCCATTGCTCCACCACTGAATATGGGACATATTTGACTCATTGAGTCAGCTTAGAATCTATTTCATCACACTAGAATGTCAGCAACATGAGGGCAGTCATTCATTATGTTACTGCTAATTCCTACATGCCTAGTTACAGTATCTAGCATCAGTAGGCATTCAAATTCTGTTGAATGCATGAAACACTTCATTTAAATAAATCTGGAAGCTATTGATATGTACTATATAAACCAGTATCTCGGAATAATCAGTTCTGTAAATTTGCTACCAGCAGGCTATGAAATTACTTACTGTTTCTTATTCTAAAGTCTCGTAAGCTTGTATAAAAAGTCACGTGGAGATAAAAAGATAGCAAGGATTTATTTCCTCTTTAAAAAACTTAAATTTAAAAACAGGTTTATTGAGATATAATGAAAGTGCCAAACAACCAAATGATTTAAAGTGTACAATTCAGTGGATTTTAGTACATTCACAGAGTTGCGTAGCCATTATAGTTTTATTTTATTCTATTTTTTTTCTTTTCAGATGTTTTTTAAGTTCTAGTTAGTTCACATACAGTGCAATGCTGGTTTCAGGAGCAGAATTCAATGATTCACTACTTACACAGAACACTCAGTGCTCCTCGTAACAGCCCTCCTTGATACCCATCATGCATTTAGCACATCCCCCCACCCCCCCCCTCCAGCAACTCTGTTTGTTCTCTATCTTTAAGAGTCTCTTATGGTTTGTTTCTTTTTTCTCCCCCTACCCCATATGTTCATCTGTTTTCTGTCCTAAATTCCACATGAGTGAAATCATGTATGTCTTTCTCTAACTTACATCGCTTAGCGGAATACGCTCTAGCTCCCTCCATGTTGTTGCAAATGGCAAGATTTCATTCATTTTGATGACTGAGTAATATCCCATCGTATACATACACCACATCCTTAACCATTCATCAGCTGATGGACATTTGGGCCCTCTCCATAGTCTGGCTGCTAGAAACATCATTGTTGATAATGCTGCTATAAACACTGGGGTGCATGTACCCCTTCCAATCTGTATTTTTGTATCTTTTGGGTTATTACCTGGTAGTGCAACTGCTGGGTCGAAGGGTACTTCTATTTTTAACTTTTTGAGGAACCTCCACACTGTTTTCCAGAGTGGCCGCACCAGTTTGCATTCCCACCAACAGGGCAAGAGGGTTCCCCTTTCTCCACATCCTCACCAACATCCGTTGTTTCTTGTGTTGTGAATTTTCGCCATTCTGACACCTGTCAGATGCTATCTCATCACGGTCTTGGTTTGCATTTCCCTGATGATGAGTGATGTTGAGCATCTTTTCACACGTCTGTTAGCCATTTGTATGTCTTTTTTGGAAAATGTCTATTTATGTCTTCTGCCCATTTCTTAACTGGATTATTTGTGTTTTGGGTGTTGAGTTTGATAAGTTCTTTAAAGACTTTGGATACTAACGCTTTATCAGATGTCATTTGCAAATATCTTCTCCCATTCCGTAGGCTGCCTTTTAGTTTTGTTGTGGCCTTCACTGAGCAGAAACTTTTCATCTTGATGAAGCCCCAATAGTTCATTTTGGGTGTTTCCCTTGCCTCTGGCAAGAAGCTGCCGTGGCCAAGATCAAAGAGGTTGCTGCCTGTGTTCTCCTCTAGGATTTGGATGGTTTCCTGTCTTACATTTAGGCCTTTCATCCATTTTAAATTTGTTTTTGTATATGGTGTAAGACAGTGGTCCAGTTTCATTCTTCTGCATGTTGCTGTCCAATTTTCCCAACAGCATTTGTTGAAGAGACTGTCTTTTTTCCGTTGGATATTCTTTCCCACTTTGTTGACGATTAGTTGACCACACAGTCGTGGGTCCGTTTCTGGGTTTTCTATTCTTTTCCATTGATCTACGTATCTGTTTTGGTGCCAGTACCATACTACCTTGATGACTACAGCTTTGTAGTATAGCTCGACGTCCAGAATCGTTAACGCCTCCAGCTTTGCTTTTCTTTTTCAGGATTGTTTTTGCTACATGGGGTCTTTTGTGGTTCCGTACAAATTTTAGGGTGGTTTGTTCTAGCTCTGTGAAAAATGCTCATGGTATTTTGATAGGGATTGCATTAAACGTAGAGATTGCTTTGGGTAGTACAGACATTTTAACAATGTTTGTTCTCCTAGTCCATGAGCATGGACTATTTTTCCATTTCTTCGCATCCTCTTCAATTTCATTCGTAAGTTTTCTATAGTTTTCAGAAAACAGATCTTTTACCTCTTTGGCTAGGTTTATTCCTAGGTATCTTATGGGTTTTGGTGCGAGCCATCGCACTTTTAGAACATCACCCAAAAAGTAGCCATGTTCCCACTGGCAGTCACTCCCCATCCCACCAATACCCACCCCCCCCAGCCCCAGATAGTAAGTAATCTACTTTCAGTCTCTGTGGATTTGCCTATTCTGGACCTTACATATACATACACACAGAACCATGCAATATATGATCCCAGCTTCTTTCGCACAGTATGTTTCAAGGTTCATCTGTGTTTCTATATGCTTTTCATGACCGAATACTTTTCCATTGTGTGGGTATACCATGTTTTGTTTACACATACAGTGATGGACCATGGGGTTGTTTTCTTTGCAACCTTTTGGCTGTTAGGAATGATGATGAACATTCATGTACATACCAAGTTTTTATTTGTTTTGTTTTGTTTTTGGTCCTCTAATTTATCCATGAAGTAGTTCGAAAGAAATAAAGAGATCTGCCCAAGGTCACCTGACTAGGCAACAAAACAGGAGGAATATTCTGGGCCTATGCCTTCCAGCTCAGTAACTTTTCTCTGGGCTCCAGTGAGAACACTAAAGTTCACCTCTATGATATTTTTCACATTCAAGACATCAGTCCAAAGCCCTTTAACTTTTGGATGCTCTTCTCTAAAACTTCCCAACTTCTCTCTTGATATATCTCCCTCTATCTTTCTTGATATAATAAAGCCAAAACTGCTTCTACTTTTCATGACACCATATTTTTATATCAAGATAATAAGGAACAAAGCTGGACTAACCATATTACTGAACCAACAGAAAACAAATACAAATTACACACAAACATTTGCAGTTGTCAAACTAGTTAAAATCTAGTGATGACTTACCTTTACTTTACAAGCATGACTGGAGGACTCCAATTTTAAATACTTTTTGTAGAAAATAATTTTGTGCTCACTAAAAATAAAATAGAATTTAAATCAATTTTACTTCTATTAGTTTTAATAGTTACATTTAAAAATGAACTGTTCCAAATGAATAAACAAAGAAGTAGCCGAATCAGCGATAAATAGAGAAAACAAACTGACGGTTGTCGGAGGGATGGGCAAAATGGATGAAGGGGAGTGCGAGAGATACAGGCTTCTGGTTATGGACTCAATAAAGAGTGGGAATAAAAGGTACAGTATAGGAAATACAGTCCCTGATACTGTAGCAGACTTGTACGGTAACAGATGATATTGTAATAGCAGTATGTCAATGATATTGTACAGTAACAGATGGTAGTTACACTCGTGGTGAGCGCTGCATAACCTATAAAGATGTCGAATCACTGTGTCGTACACCTGAAACTAATGTAATGTTCTGTCAACTATACTCAAATAAAAAAAAAACAACAACAACACTTTTTCTAATTGTGTTTCTAAGCCATTACTTAAATCCTGAGATTGAATTCGGGTAGAATCCTTGTATCAGAACCTAGAGGAAAATCACACGCTAACGGGCAGACTTGTGGGTTACACACACTGGTGTGTGGCACAGTCTTGGGCCTGTGCACCATGTGTAATGGACTTCCTTTCAGAAAAACGTGTTCAACGTTCCAGACTAACTGCCAAATTGCTTTTGGGAAACAGACCACTGTGTGTTCACGGAGAAAGCCAAGAAGCAGGAGTAAGGACTGACTCTAGTCTATACAGTCTGACGAACTGGGATGACCCGCTACCCAGTCACCTCCCCCAATCAGCTCGAAATTTCCACATTTACAACAACGAGAAAGCTTAGACTATCTCGAAGAGCCCGTAGAGGGAGAAACGGAGAAACTGCTACTCCTGCTGCTACGTGTTTCTCTTCTCTCCCCCGGCGTCTGGCATCTATGTCAGGCAATCAACAGACACCACAAGGGCTGAGTAAAGTCACACGGCTGCGCGAGAACACTTCTGCGTCAACGAGTTACAAACCTGTCATCCAGATCACTACAAACAGTCTTGCCCCTACTGGTTCCACAGTACTCCTCTCCTAAGTATACTTCCATATTTCTTGCTGAGCTCAAAATGCCAACAGAAACGATTTCTTCGCCTCCGTTAGGGTCACATCTCAGGTAAAGGAAGCAGGGCTTTTCATCGGGGCTGTTCAGGCTGCTCTTCAAAACCACCAGATCGCGGCTGAAAAGAAAAGCGTCCAACATTTTCCTCAGTCTACTTGTCCGAACACCGCTCACAACCCTCTTATTAGGCCACGGTCCTCCTCCGAACTCACTTCTGCATTTACCACTGAGGTCCCCCCACCTTCCCAAGCACCCAACGGACGCTCGGTACAGATTCCCAAGGAAATGCACACTCCGGACGCCAGGGCTTCGCCCTCTGCGCTCTCCTCGATTGCCGACGCGACCCCCGGTAGTTACTTCCCATTTCAACACAAAAAGTTCGCTGGGACCTACTGCGTGCACCAGAGGGGGAAACAGAAGACACTACGAGGCAAACGCCTATCTTTTCCATAACGAAGCTGATGGGGGCTCTCGACAGTCACATTTACTGACGCCGACGCGGGTCCCCAGGAGGCCTTTGCGGGTTTTGCGCGGGGAGGGGGAGGCGGAGCCCGGTTCCGACCCGGCGGAGGGTCAGCCCGGCGCCCGACACTCACGCCCCCGGCCCCGCCCCCCGGCCCCCGCTCCCGGCCCCCGCCTGCCGCCCGCTCCCCTCCCGGATCCCCGGCCCACACCCTCTCCCCGCACGGCCCCCACCTGCCTTCCCGGCTTCCCCAGGAGCGCCACCGTCCCGCACCGGCGGCCCCAGTCCCCGCCGGCCCGGCGCACCCCGGGGCAGGCGGAGCCAGCGGCTCCTCCCAATCCAAGTCCCGGGCGCCGAGGTCAGCCCGGGTGAGACGGAGGCTGTGGGCCAGGGCTCCGCAGGCGGCATCCCAGGAAGAGGCCAGCATCGGGCGGCGGGTCAGTCCCACGTCCTCGGCCCCGCTCTCCATTCCGCGGCCTCCAGCTCAGGCTGAGCCCGGAACCTCTCCTCCAGGGCTTGCGTTTCCGCCAGGGACGGAGGGGAGGCGAAGAAGTCGACCGACTTCCGGCTCGGCTGGCTTCAAACCCAAGACCCGCGGCTCCTCGCCCAGTCGGGAAGAAACCCAGGTTATGGAGACACGCATGCGCGAGCCAGCCGGTGGCCGCAACGCGCTTCCAAAACGGGGGCGGGGGGGGGGACTGGAGGGGGCCTAACTGCAGGATGGAGCATGCGCCCCGACGGCAGCTGGGCCTACCGCTGAACTGTGCGCCGGCGCAGCGCGGGCGCGCGGGAACAGGCCGGTTTGGGCACGTGGGCCCGCGGACCTAGCCGGCGTTGTGGACGATGGTTGCCGGCCGCCTCGGAGGTTGGCCCAGTGAGGCGAGTCGGTGTTCTGGTAGGAGTGGTGCGGTCGCTGCACGCGCCCCGGGGACCTGCTGCCGACCGTCGCTGTGGCTGCAGTGGACAGCGGCGCAGCGAGCGTGCGGTGGGTGCGTGCTTGCCGGCAGCTTGGCTGTAGCAGGCGGAGGTTTGCACGGCGTCCCCGAATGGCAGTGGGACCGCGGCGCCGGCCGGACGTGGCCGAGCCAGTGACCCGCTGGCGCTTGGGCGCGACGGCGTCCGACGGGGCTGACCTCGCGCCCTGTGGCCTCAGCGCTGGAGGGGAGGTGGAGACCGGGGCCCCAGGGCCGGCCCCCGCAGCCGTGGTCCGCACCCCTGGCCCTGGCCGGAGCGGGCAGGAGCGAGCAGGAGAGTGGCCTCGGGGCTCTGGTGGAGTAGCCTCTGAGCGGCGACTTGAAGGACTTTTAAGGTTTGGGTTCCGGAAAGTGGGGCAGATGGAACTTTCTAGTTGCCCCTCAGG